ATCATCATCATCATCATCATCATCATCATCATCATCTCTGACTGTCAAATCTTTCTGTTTAGCTTCTAAATGTAAGCCATACCTGACCAAAAAATAAATCAGTATCAACACACACACACACATATACACATAGCAGATGCAATCCATATTGAGTTTCTATTCAGGATATTGTCCTTGAGTACATTCTGCTCAAAATTTCTCAGTAGTGGAAGAGCAAATCTGATCTTTGCTATTTCCTTTCCCAATTGCAGGACCTAGCACTACTTCTGATGCTATTCTGGAGAGTCTCCTGGCCCTTCAAAGCAGATTTTAAAGAGAACACAGGGAGAGGTAATTTCAAGGAAAATCATGTCCTCAGTTCAATCAATGGGGTTTCTTCACTGGATCAAAGACTTTCTATTCACCAGAGTCAAAGTCATACTGCAGGTGATAAAGTGTTATGTTCAAAGCATAAAAGGAGGGGGGGAAAAGAATAGAAAGAAAAGCAGTCAACATCCCATGCAACACTTTCAGAAGACCTGTACTATTGGATTTAGCAAATCAGAGTTAACTACCTAATTTATTTTCAAGCTTCTTGACTATTTCAATTTCAAGTTTCTATTTCAAGTTTCAAGTTTCTTGACTATTTCAGCTCTTAGTTTAAACAACAAACCCACATAAATACATTTTAAATGCTCGTTTGAGGGAAAAGCCCATTTAGATGAAATCCTCAATGCTTAGGGCAATATCTCTGGGGCCATTTTCTTCCCATCTTTTCTATGGCCACTCCCTTGGAGGGGAAAATTCGTGCTGAAACTTCCTTCAGTTTTTGAAAACAGTTTTTCTGATCTCAGACCTCAGGGGAAGTATCACAGGGGCTGGGTGAGGCCAAGATGGAAGGGATTAAGAATCTGAAATTTTCTCAGAGCTCTGAGACCTCGGCCTGCTTTCCAAAGTGGAACTAAAATTTGGTCTGCAACATTGCTTATGCTGTCATACTGAGGGCTTTGCTCTGACATTGGCACATCTGGCATTCAGATTAGGGTTGCTCTGGTTGACATGCATATTTTAAGAGAAACTGGATAAGAAAATTGTATTTTAAAAATGCTTTAGAGTCCCTATTTATGCATGGCTTGTCTACTTTTTAAAAACAAAATTGCTGTTTGGTTAATTTGTTGCATTTATAAGTTGTCTGAAGTTGCCCCTTTTAAGTTAGCTAACAGCATATTAAAACTATTACAAACCATAATCTAGAACACACAAGTACATATAAAAAGCTTACCAAGACAGCACAGAGGAACAAAGTTAGCAATATAAAGATAAGTAAACCAATAGCAAGAATAGCAAGTTGTTAGAAAACAATAAGATGTAAAAGCTAGCAGAAAATTAAATACTCAGCATAAATATAAGTTAAAAACTTTTTTTTTTAAAGTAGATTCTATATACAATTTTCTAGAGAGGAAATTCAATAGATATGGGGCAGTGCTTAAAAACTCTGCCTGTAATGTCCTTTGATCTAATAGTTCTTAAGAGTGGAGGCCATACATAGAGACTCAGTGCTGAAACTTTAGGCCTGGAAATGCATTTTCAAATACAGGTATTCCTTCAAATAAAGGAGAAATAAATCAATATGGGATGCACTTATTAGTAAATGTATGCAAATCGGCTGAAAATATATTTGATTCATCTGACCTTTCCAGCCTTTGAAAGATGATAGAAGTGGCTGAAAGATTTGCTGTTTCGCACATTTGTGTGTCAAAGCAGAGAGCATATATTCAGCTTCAGACCACTTTTGGTGCTCTCAGACATTCTGTCTGTTTTCACCTCCAATCTTGTACACTCTGTATGGTACTTGCAATCAAGCGCTATTTCCTTCCCATATTTTTAAAAAGTAATTTAATGCAGTTGAACAGTTAATGCTACACTTCAATGCAAATTTGAGAGCCCTTGCATCTTTTGACCCCACTGTTGGAACTGAGATGTAACTCTACCACTCTGAGGCGCATTTCAGAACCAGCATTGGCTTCCCTGTATCACTAACTCAAATGCAAGTCAGAGTCTCTGGAGAAAAGGGCACCCTACCCGTCTTCTAACCCTTTCTTGAGTTCTACCAGTTGATATCTGCTATCCCAGCTAAGAAGGTAAGGGCTAAATGGTATGCAAAAAAGAATATGCAATATTTAGCCAAATATTTCAACATGTTCTTTTGGGTGGCTTTTTCAGAGAGAAGAGATGATGTTCATGTCATTAAAAATGTAGGTACTGGGAAACTAAACATGATCTAAAGGCTATCATTGTACAGAAAAAGTAACAAACATTCAAATTCACTTATCAGCCAAAAAACATGGATATTGGAAGTGAAGGGATAACATGAAATTGCAGATTATAAATTGACCAGATTCATGCTATCCAAATGTGTGAATACGTTTCTTGGCTAGAAGGAAAGAAATTTAAATCTATATTTTGTTTTGAAAGAAAGCATGAATTTTCATGTAGACTTGTTTATCTGTTTACAAAAGGTGATTGACAAAGAAGTGGAAGATTTAGGAATATGAATACGTGAAACAGATTTGGACTAGAAATTGGTTGATTCATCTATCTGGGTGAGGGCTAAATGTAACAATTCCTTTAGGATGTGAACAATCCTTCCAAGGAGCCACAACCCTGTTCAAAGAGGTTAAACTCCGTATTGTTGGCTAGTTAAGCCTCCTGACAAAGCAGACTCAATTCCATCTGATCTGAAATAAAGCTCAAACAATATGTTATTTTAAATATGTAACAAAACAGCAGTGCTTTTTTTTAATCAACAGAAAGCACAGGTAAGAATTTAATATGGGAAAAGGCGTCTGGTGGCTTATGGTTTTGCTTTCATTTTGCTCCCAATCCAGATACGCCAGGATCTATTGCTGGCAAGGTCAGTTATAGATTGCTCCCCCCCCCACGTGAAAATTAGTATCCCCAAAGGTATTGGGATCTTGCACTTATTCCTGAGTACTAAAGAAGAAGGGGTATGCTTAGCTACTAGCTGTTTTAAAGTAACACGTCACCGGACCATACATTCAGGGTCAATTTGCTCCCTTGCAGATATTTTGGAATGCCACTCCCATAACTCTTTGCATCTGTCCTTCTGGTGAGGTTTGTTGGGAGCTGAAGCACAAAACTGTTGGAGGGGAGGAAATTGCCAACATTTTCATTTTATCTCTCCTCATCCATCCGTTCCCATTACTCTAGAAACATCAACATGGACAGGAGCTCTCAAGATGGCGCTTCCTAATGTGGAAGGGCAGCAGAAAAACACACCCTGAGTTTGCTTTGAAGGTGGGTGGGAGATTAACAGCAGGCAAGTTGTCCATTTCTGCCTTCCAAAAATGGTTGCCTACCCCTTTGGTTATGAAGCAACCGGGTAGTGTGAATAAGCCCTCTTCTCTCCTCCCAACCCCTTTAATTTTGGTGTCTCTATAATCTGGAGAAACTGATGTCACTGCTTAGTCCAATACTTAATTAAACAGTTTATAAACTTTACGGGAATTGCCTTGTATATTTAGGGAAAAAACTATTATAAGTACAAAGTGAAATCTTTTCAAATCTTGTTTTTAAGGGAAGTGAAAGCCACATTTGTAATCCTCTTGCATTCAAATCAATGGAATTGAAAAGCACATTGAGTAGCTCATATCTCTGCAATTATTTTAGTTCCCATTCAACACCAGATTCAACATTCTTGGAAGGGAATATACTTTTGAACTCCTGACCTACTAAAACCAGAACAATAACAAAAGATCTGATCTCAAGGTTTCACTAGCATTGTAAAAGATGAATTAAAATAGGAAAGTTGTTGGACCACCTAAAGACTGCTTTGAGAGATGGCTTGTGTGTATGAATGGGCTGCTGCAGCATTACACAGCTATTGCCTCAAATGTCACACATTTATCATGAATCTTAATTTGATTTCTCCTCAGAATTGCTGGCAAATGAATACTTGAACAGTGTGCACCGAACAGTATCCTATACTGAATGAGATTGAAGTTGTCTATATGATGATATGATTTGTGGTGGGATACAGTCATGAAGCGGTAAATGCATATGTGTAATCTGGATCACAGCCCATATTTTTTCGTTTAAGTGAAGGATATCAACTTGGCATGCTTAAAGTAGAATCTGGGTTCCATTTTGGGAAGTGCAGGTAATATTTCCAAGGAACACATATTGGCATCTGTAAAATCACATCATCACTTCAATAATCCCCAAAAGCACAAGGCAGTTCTGTCACATGTCTTTCATCTGCAAAAACTGTGACTGGACTGAGTGGACATCTTTAAAGTTTGGGACTCGTTCTGAACTGTCATAATATTTTCCGAAACAGCAAATGAGAATTGCCGCTTGTTCTTCCACTAAGGTACTGGATTCCTTTTTTTTTTTTTTTTAAATCAGAATGAGAAATTCTCGGAGGTGAAGTCCATGCATCTTAAAGTGGCCAAGTTTGAAAAACACTAGTTTAATTAATACATTTAAACATCCTGTTTCTAAATGTGAGGATTTGTCAGGGAATGAAATTTAAATGAATATGTGTCATCCCTGCCTAGTTCAGATCTGTACTCCCTGCACAAAATATATGGCTAATTTACAGTAGGCTTTGGTTTCATTACTTTACTAAATATATATTTAGTGGCATCCCATGATATTCTTCCTTTTCTTCATTTTGAAGGAGGCTTGACCCCATGTATGAAAAGGCTTCAGGGAACTTGTCCTTTGCAGCCCTCATCACAATTTGAGTCTGAAACCCCTGCCATGCAATAACCGAGCTGTGAAAGATGCATAAGCCAGAAAATCCCTTCAGCCCTTTTCCCCAGTCATGGCAGCAAAAATATAACAGCGGATAAAGAACAAAAGATTCATGGCCCTCAAAATCTGCAGCCTATGATGTTGGCTTCTCTCTCCTGAAGGATAGGGCTTTTATCAGGTCGGACAGTCTACAAACCAATTCATTTTTTTTAAATAACCTTTTAATTTATGCTAAACTGCTGGTCTGACTGTGTATTTTTTTTTAAAAAAACATATTAAAATATTTATGCAATAGCACTAAAATAAAAAGTGTTCTAGAATAGGTTGATTAAACAACATGTTGTATTTCCCAAGCTTTCTACTAAGCACATTTTAGCACTCTCTTCCTCCTCTAAATCTAATACTTTATTCTAAAACATGTACAAGTACGTTAAAAGATCATTAAGCAATTGTGCAATACTTATGTATTTTATGTATCTAGATATTAAAATTTAATTTTATGCATTAAAACATAACTTCAGTGGATACATGATTTTTTT